GAATGGATGGTATAAAAAAAGCGACATCATCATTTTGTGATTTTAAAGAATATAATTTCTTTAATTCGGCAAAGTGGAAGAGAATAGTTTAGTTGAAGTTGTGCTTTATAGTTGAGATTGCTATTAGATGAGAGGCGATCTACGAGGCACTTTTGGATGTCTTCAAATAATTTACTTGATTTGCTGTATCTAAGGGGATAACAAGTTGTATATATTAAAGAATAAGCAAAATGAACGCTTTGTATAATTTGAGAAAAAAACTTTGGTTTCTGTTTTTAAACGACCGAATTTAATAATCTTGAGGATTTTTTTATTTTTTAGGCATGAGAAATTGCAACGAGTGCTTCATCATTCCTAAACATTTAATTTGCTTTAAACTGAATTGCCATCAGGAAAAGTCTCTCGTCCTATTTTTCAGGCATAGTTAATTTCTATAAGTTCACCAATTATAATTTTGTCCTCCTCCCATGCCTAATGGTTAAGTAAAATATGAAATAGTCTAAACCACATTCTACTCATTGGTTGCTAAAATATCATACGAAGTATGTCAGAATTATTACTTTTGGGCAAAATTTATTGTTGCCGTACCGTTCTATACTATTTCTTTGCAATTCTTTTGCTAATTCTATCAATTATGAATCCATCAATTTACTATCAATTATATCAATATTGTTTTATTGATTTAAACATAAAGCACTAGAGAAATCAAATTTATTTAACGAAAGTACCAGTAATAAGACAAAGGAACAAATATCAATTATTGAATTATTACTTATTCATTCAATTATTCTGCATAATTTTTTATTCACAAACATTGCAAGTGCGAGGACAATAACTGCTGGGAACTTCTCTATCTTGATGGAGCAAAAAGGTGCACCAATTAATTCTGTTATCTACGCATCTATTTAGAAAGGTTGCTATTGTGCTTGTGCTTGAACCTGCAATTATTAAAACTGATTTAATAAGAAATTATTTTATTTCTGCTGCAAAGTCCAATTGCTCCGATCCTCTCAGGTCAGAAGAATATACGCAACAACTTTTCTTTTACTTCTCTAATAATTATTTTTGCAGAAAGGTGTAGCTTCTTACAAAAGTTCTTTCAATAAAAAGTAATTTAACGCACTTTGGGAACCTTCCACAGTGTGATCCCATCAACACTTTCTCCAAGTATTATAAGTAATGATCTGCGAAATGATTTAACACAAGGTTGCTTAACTAAGTGGGTGCAGTCGATCAAACTGGAAATTTTTTGTGCTAAATATATATTGCTTATACTTAGTGGGTGCAAAGCCATGTAGTGGACAGAGCCTAACGCTTGTACAGTATTATGATGTTAAAATGTTATATATAGATTAAATATCTTAGGATCGGCGAAATTGGGATTACTTTATTGGAATCGGAATCTTCATTCGATTCGATAACTCTCAAGGTACTGAATGCAACTGCAGATGCAAAATAAATTGTCTTCTTGTGCAATATAAATAAGTTTATGCCTATTTTTAAAAATTTAGCTGACTGACTTTACTCATATATGTGAAGGCATAATATTCATTTAGGCTTAGGCTTAGGCTACCTAATATTTATTGAAAAATCGCGAAAATGAAGCAAATAGAAAGCGGTCGGCCACTATCCTCGATGCTGCAATCAAATTTTAATCTAAATGATTTAATCCTGGACTAGCAGGTTTAGTTACGCATGATTGATACGCATGTTTTGACTTATTAATAAATTTTTTTGAATTTCGAGATATTCTAGACGAGACAAATTCATTTCGAAGGATTTTCCTATTCTTGTAGATTAAATAACTTAGGATCAGTGAAATTGTGAACTTTATTGGAATCGGAATCTTCATTCGATTCGATAACTCTATTAAAGTACTGAATGCAACTGCGCATGCAAAATAAATAAATGAATAAAGAGCACATAAGCTGGCGAAAAAAATTTATTATTTGAAATTATACGGCAAAACCATGGTTGCAAGTTAAACTAAATTTTTTTGCATACAGTTCAATTTCTAATTTGCCAATTCGATTTTCAGATGTCAATCGCAAGCGATAAGTATAAATCTATTTGGTGGACTATGTATTGCGAACATTGGCCATCCAAAATTTGTGGCAGATTTAAGCTAACAAGAAGATTATGAAGTAAAAATCATTTCATGCAATTTATTGCATAGATTCGCAAACTGTCAGAAAAATTTTTTTGCAGAAAAATAAAATTTTTAAAAAGCATTACAGAATTTTAAAATTTTAAAATATTAAAGAGGTATGGAAAAATTTATTTAATTTTTTTATTTATGCAATATAAATAAGTTAATAAATAAGTTTTTTTTATTTTCTATTCTTAATATTTTGTTCGCTGACTGACTGACTGGCTCATCTACGTGAAATCATAATGCTCATTTAGCCATTGTTAATAACATATACTTATGATAATAATAAAAGCGATTCTAACCAGTGCGTTCGCCCAATAACTAAAGTCATATGCAAACTCATTTAGTTTTTATCCTTTAAAAAGAACAAGAATATTTGCAAGGGGGTCAACGAGGTCGCAACGTGCAAATATTCCTTACTGCAATAACAGTTAGATTTGCATTCATAAAAAATTTGATAAATTCTTCTATTGGTTCCGCAGAATACCGGAACAAAACGTTTACGCTGGTTTTGTGTTCGATTCCTCGCAAAAGTAAACCTGTACAAAAATCCGGGTGATGCTGGCGACTCACCTTACTTCTATCATCATTTGTTGCCTTACGACTATTTTACGATTATTAAAAGAGTTGGCTTCGCATGTGAATTTTATTGGCGTCAACGATTTCGTCTCCTTTGCTATTTATCCATTAACTATTGTATATGATGTATGATTTATTTTCTTGGAACATTTTGCTTTATCGAAAATATAATTTTTTTTTATTCATAAAATATTATTTATTTAATTTTTTTTATTTTCGTTATTTCATTTCCATTTTAAAAATTTTTAAGTAAAATTTTTAAAATGTGAAGCTGGGAAGAATTCAAGAAATGTATGAAATAACTTGAATAAAATATGAAAGAAAAACCTCTTATTTATGACAATAACAATACCTTATAAAAGCGTTCTCTTCGAGCATAACACCCCACTTTTTATTTAGGATATTATTTATTTTATTTATTTATTTAATTTATTTATTGAAAACCAGCCAAGCAGGGCGCCATGTATTAATAACAACAGTTAAAGTAACAAATGATAAGAATTAATGAAACAAAAAATTAACAATAATAAAATAAAACAAAAATAAAATAAACAATTTAAAGATGAAATAAAGAGGGCACTGCAAAATAATAATAAATAATATAGTACAATTCGAAATAACCATAATTGGATGGTAAAGATCGAGATTTCACACTTCCTGCATGATATGAATTTTTTGAATAATATTATAAATGATATTATCAATTCTTTTTTTAAAGATAGTTAGAGATGACGCACAAGCTATATCATTCGATAGTTTATTCCAGTAATTAATATCATGAATAAAGAAATCATGAGTGCTTAGTTTAGTTTTGCACATAAGTTTTAGTAATTTTAGCCCATTAGTTCTTGTTGGATTTAAATTTAACCTAAAATTACAATATTTTGAATCTAGTTTAACATAAACATACAGGATCTTATTAGTATAAATGAAATTTTTTTTAATTCGACGAACTGAATCCACTGTAGAAGTTTTTTTATAATTAAAATTACAATTAAGAGAGAGGCGCCGTATAAAATATTTTTGGAATCCTTAAATTATTTTACTTTATCTCGGGGAGTAAAATATAGCATTGTAATCAAGAAGTGGCCGAAAACGCTTTGTATATTTTAATAAGGAAATCTTCAGTTTTGTTTTTAAACGAACGAAAATTAAAATTTAGTATCTTTGAGGATTTCTTAACCATGGTTCTGCAGTGAAGGTCGAAATCGAGATTTTTATCCATGATTATTCCAAGATTGGAAATTCGTGAGATTCTATTGATTATATTGCCATTAATAATAAGATTAGTGAAACAAATCGAAACCTTTAGAACTGATATGAAGAACGCTACATTTTTGAAAGGGAAGGGTAATTTGCCTGTCATATAGCCAGCTGCCTATTCTGTTAAGGCCCAATGGAGATAGGTTATCTACCATGAGAATAAGAGGATATAAAATTATTGGCATCAAGATAAGTAACCAATTTGTTGTTAACAAATCAACCTTTCGAGTACCTTACTACCAATGCATGTTAGGCTAATAGGTTTATAATTAGAAGGGTCATAAATGTTTCCTTTTTAATGAATGGGAATTATAAGAGACAACTTCCAAATTCTGTGATTAAAGCCAGTTTTCATAATGTCTTTATAAATTAAAAACAGTGAGACTCAGTGAAACTGCATATTTTTTATAAATTATTTGTGGAATATTATCAGGAAATTTATAATAAACAGGAATAAACGTGATAAGCCCATCTCCATGAGAATTTAAACTTATTTATTGTTCTATCCTTGCGTGATACTAGAAAGCCATTGAAGTTTAATTCGCGATTATCAGTAGAGTCATCCAACCACGTTTCATTAATACAAAAAATACTATTTGGGTTATCAATTAGTATGAGTTGTAAGTCATAAAGTTTATATTTTAAACTTCTTGCATTAAATAATATAAAGTAGATTGATGGGAGAAATTGGAATCAAAAAATTGTTCGTAGTTGTAAACCATTGGCGAGACTGCCTGAGTTCCACTATTTGAAGATTTCTGTTAACATTCTTCTTCAGATTGAGATTCTGATTTCGCATATAACATTCTTTACGCAACTGTTTGTCTAATAATAGTTCTCTGTTCTCTTTTCGTTCTCTTTTCGTTAGATGCTTCCTCAAAAAACTTCCATGGGGAACAATCGATCGTTCTTATTACACAAAACAGACATGACAATATACTTATCTTCAAGTCGAATCTTAAGTACTCGCCTGACCCTTTTCTTCCATATCGATAGACTAGCCAGTCTAAATCCCAGCAACTGCTACAATATTCTTTGCTAAGAGCCTATCGGCAATAGCAGTCTCATCATCAGAAGATTTTTCAAGAATATTTATGCCAACTAGACATGGTTCCTTTTCTTTTTTTTCAAAATATTCATCAATAGTTTGCAATATTTGTTCAGTTGAGATATTTGGAGGCTCAAAGTTGCTACTCAAAGATGAGGCTTTTAAATTATTGATGTCATTCTTAAGTTCGTTGACCTTTGTTCACCTTTGTAAGTACTTCAATGGATCTCGTTAAATGCAGAATTAGGCCTTGCTGCTTTTCATATTTCTCATTAATGGAAGCTAACTGCATTCTCAAGTCCTCGATAGTTAAGGGGCCGACATCATTGGCAGAAACGACCTTATTAGTTGCAATCTTTTTTGGTGCCATTTGAATTAGTGCCCCAAACAAAAAATCTTTTTTATCTAATAAGTACTCGATAAAAGGCGAATGAATTAACAGAATTTAACGGAGAGAAGATCGACACCACCGCTCACGAGAACGACAAAATAACAATTATATTTCAATTCATTTCGATAATCAAATTTCCAAATTTCGAAAAATATATTCCAATATTCATATCATTTTTATCAGAAATAATTGCTCTGCAAAAATGGTTTATCGCAGCAGAATTAGCAGAAAGAAATATTATGGAAAGGTAATAAAAAAAAATTTTGCACAATATTAACAAATTCTGATATACATTCTTCGAACGTATAATAATTTAGCAATGCAACAAATGCATAGAATATATTTTAATCAATTTCATATTTCAATTTATCATTAGGAATGCCAGTAGCACCAAAAATATATAACACTACACGGGTGAATTTGTATAAATTAACGATGATATCTGATAAATTGTCACGGAAAACTTTGGTAATCGACTTTATTATTTTCTGAGTTCAAGGAATGTTTTTGTTTAATTCGGCAAAGTGGGAAATTTAAATTATTCAGCTGAAGTTCTGCTTTACAATTGAGATTGCTATTAGATACATAAGAGACTACCTATGAAGTATTTTCGGATGTCCTCAATTAATTTACTTGATTTGTTGTGTCTAAAGGGATAACAGATTGTATTATGCCCAAGAATAGGCCAAACGATCACTTTGGATAATATATTTTGATTTTAATATATTTTGATTTTTGAACGATCTTATTCTTTTTCTTCTTTTTGCTATGGCTTTGCAGTGAAGATCGGAATTTTCATGCACATTTACGTCAAGATTTAAGATGTTTGAGATTTGTCTAATTGTGCTACTATTGATAGTGAAATTACCCCTTTCGATTTTATACGAAAGGCATTGCACTTCTGAAGAAGGAAGGATAATTTGCATGTCATTTATGCAGTTGGAAATTCTATTGAGGTCATCTTGTAGCGAAGAGAGGTTATGATCTACCATGAGAATAAAAAATTTCACAACACATTATAACCAAAGATAAATGGTAGAATTCAGTACAACATTAGTGTTATCATTAATACAACATAAGATTATTGATTTAGCTCGAACTAAGTCTGAAAGAGAGTTGTTGATATATGTAGCTTGACGTCGATCTTTCAAATAATCTGACATCCATTAATACAAATTGTCGATAAATATTAATGGAGTCCAACAGTTTATTGAAGAACGGCATGCTTAAATGCTTTGGCAAGTCATAATATAGTCATAATATCAGACAATAATATTTTTCCATTAACAAAAGATGTAAACCAGCCAGAAAAGCTTGCTAATATGTGCGAGGAAATAGATTTTTTCGAGCAAAAACCATACAATAAATCGGAAGAAGAATTAAATTATTAGCGTCAATATAGCTAACCAACTTGTTACAAATCAGCCTCCCCCGTGCTTTGCTATCCATTAGACTAATAGCTAGGAAGGATCATAGGTGTTTTTTTTTAGAAATGAGAATATTATTTTACTGTGATTATTAATATTGTTTAAAAAATTTTATAAATTTTAAAAAATTCTACATAAAGCCTCTTCTCTATTATAGAATCGAATTATTCGAATTATTGCTACCGAAATCATTCAGTGATAAAAAAAAGAGTGCTTTCTACGATATTAATAATAATAATAATTGTAAACGAGAAGAAGCCAGGAAAACCGAAAAGTGAAAATGTTTTACCAACAATTGGTTTTTGATGAATTAAAAATTTTTCTTGCTGTGCCAAACAAAATGAAGTGCTCACAAGAAATATTTCTTCTTCTTTCTCTAGCAGCACCCACTATTACCGGTTAGGCTGGCTCCCCTCTGCCATCGCTAATAGTAATTGTAATAGAAATATTTCCAAGAAATAAATTTTTGTCATTGCTGGCACTATTCCTTTACAATTATTCTCCTAATTTTGATGCGATAAACCATTTTTGCAGAGCAATTATTTATTCATTTAAACAAAAAGCAATAGAGAAACCCAATTTCTGAAACGAAAATACAAATAATGAAACAAATGAATAAAAATTATCCCTTAATTAATTATCCCGTGTATCCTTAATTATCCTTAAATGTTTTCTTATTGACAAGCATTGCAAGTACGAGGACAATATCTGCTGAGAACATCTCTATATCTCGGATTGTAGCAGAAAGGTGCATATTGAAAGCAATTAGTTCTGTAATCAACGCATCTATTTGGGGAGGCTGCTGTTGTGCTTAAACCTGCAATTATTGTTTTAAGGATCTAATAAAATCAACAAAACATTTTATTTATAGTTTGTTCGAGCCAAACTTATTGGTAGAGGAGGTGCATCTTCACTTCTAGCATTTTTTGGCTTTTTTTTTCATATCCGAGGCAAAGTGAATATTTCTATAATGCAAGGATTTCCCTTTTGTTTCACCAAGTGATCTGGCAATCTTCTTATACAAACATTTCATCAAAAGTTCTTCCAAGAAGAAGAAACTTACTTGGCAAACATGTTGTTATATTGCAGGATTTCATACAAGCTTGAGCGATTCTTTCATTTTTGCATGCATCTGGGAAACCTCCCACAATATGACAAATCGAGATGGTGTCTGGACATTGCCCAAGAACCCCTGGTTGGTCACATAGACCGCATGTTTTCGGGCATCTTAGAAGAACTATTTGGTATAAGCTTGGATGCTTACAATGAGCTATAAAATCCAGTTTCTCGCAAGTCTCATCGGCAATATAATCTAAATTTAAAAGCTTCAAATGAGAAACATTGCCTGATTTTGGTTGTTAATGGTTAAAACATTCAGCAATTTCTGCAGAGAAATGAAATAAAATTAATTTTAGCAAATGTGGCTCACAAATCGCATCTAAAATGTCAAATGGAAAACCTTTTTCGAGTTTTGAATATAAATGGCTAAAAGTACGCAATTTTCGCAGAGGAATGAAACTAAAATCATATTTAATAATTCTGGCAAATATAAATTAAACATTTAAATATTGGAAATTCAAAAAAAAAATAAAATAAAATTCAAGTTAATTGTTCAAAATAATTAAATTTGGCAAAATTTCTGCTTTTTGATTTCAGTAATAATAATTTCTCCTATAATTTATTATTTATCGTCAGCTCTTCGTCTCCATTTTCTTCGAAATATTCATTAAAAAATAACCATTTCTACAATCGAACTGTCGCGTTTTGCAACATTTTGCACACGAACTTGGACACTGCGACACGCTAATCTCAGCGAATTCATTCTTCATGCAATTTTCGTTGACTTTATAATCTTCGGTACTAAAATATAAATTTTTTATGAATTTGAATATAAATATGACAATAAAAATTGAGAAAGAGGAAGAAAGCCACGAAATTTTTAAAACTAATAATTACAGTTACATTTTTGGATTGTTCCCATAAGTTCCTGATTCTTTCGCGAATAGAGCATTGCATGCAGGCGAATCCAAATCGTGGCAATATTCTGGTGGTACTGACGGGCGTGTTTTGGTATTAACGACTTTCGTACATTCCGTGATTGTCTTATCATTACCGTTATTGTTGCCAATTAAGCAAAATAAGATATAAAGGTGTGGAAACATTTCCGACAATGTGGAACAAGCGCTCAATTGCACCTTTTTATGCGTAAAAATTATGCCGGCAGTGACAAAAATTTATTCAGCTTTTAGGAGATATCTGCCTGAAATGAATTTATAAATAAATAAATTTCGATTTGTTTAATTTAAATTTTTCATTAGTGAAAACTTTTCACTGAATCAATCGTTTCTACGAAACAAATCTACGACCATTGTTCTAAAATTTTTTTCGCATTCTTTTTTTTTATTTTCTTATTTATTTTCATTCATTGGAAAAACTTCTCCCTTCAATTCCTTTTAGTATTTGCTTTTAAATAACTTGCTTGAGAGTTACTTGTGGATATGAAATTCAGTTCCACTGAATGTATGGACAACTTGGATGCTTAAAATGTGTCCATCCAAAAAGGTAACCATTATTGCAATTGAACTGTCGCGTTTTGCAACATTTTGCACACGAACTTGGACATTGCGTTACAGTAATCTCAACGACTGAAGCATTGGTCACGCAGTGTTGACTGACTTTGTAACCTTAAATATAACTATTCTAAAATTGGATTTAAAAAACAAGAAAAAACTCGTGAAATTTTGAAAGCCAATAATTACACTTATATGTTTTAATTGTCTGCATAAGTTCCAGATTCTTTAGCGAATAGAGCAAGTCATGGCAATATTCTGGTGGTATTGACGGTATTCCCAGCGTTTTTGCACATTCCGTGATCGGCTGATTACCACCACTATGGAAACGTTTTTTGATAGTGTGGAATAATCGCTCATTATACCTTTTTGCGGGTGCAAGCAGTGATAAAAAATTATTCAGCTATTAGGAGTTATCTGCGTGAAACAAATTTCAATTTGTTTAATTTTGATTTTTCACTGGAAAAATTTTTTAGCGAATTAATCGCATCGGCAAAACAAATCCACGACGAATAAATTTCTGTCCAAATTATCCAATTATCCAATTGTCAAATTCGTTTTCCTCTTTTGTGATTCTGAATTAAATAAATAAAATATATAATTAAATTTCTGTACAAAATATCCAATGAACATGTATTTTAGTACCAATATAGGCTAAATTCCATTGAACATTGCTATGGGGTTAGCCAGAGACTCGCCAGAGACCATTTGATATAGATGCGCTTCCAGCGTTGCCTTTATTTCACGATAGATTTATTGCCGCCAAGGGATGCTGCACGAATCTCTTTCATAATATTACTACATATTACTGAATAGATGATTAAATTTCTACTTTTTGTGCTGTTAACGGAATAATTTTCCATAATATATGTTATTTCGGTAGGCAAAATAATCAAAGTAAATTGCTATATTAAAAAAATGAAAATTTGATTATTTGAAAATTAATTAAAATAAATCAGCGAATATGAAAAAATAGAAATAATATAAATGCAAATTTCATCGTTTCAAATTCCATGTACTTTGGCAACTATTTGCATTTTTAATTTTGTCTGATTTGTACGATAAAGGGAAATTTTGTCAAACCCCGTGTAACTGAGAGGAAAATCCTTACCTGCAAATTTCCCGAAGCCCGTTTTTATAACCGAACTATCGGCATTATTTTCTGTTTTTAAAAATTATTCTTCAAATTTCATTTTAAAACTCTTCGATTTTAATAAAATTTTCAGAAAAATGAATTCTGAAATTTCTAACGAATTACTTAAAATTGGAAACCTTAAATCTTAAAAAAGTGCTAAATTATTAAATTTTAGTTCACTTCTGAAAATCTGCGAAATTTATTAAAACTTTATTAAATGTTTATTTATTAAATGTTTATCATTTTAATTGTTTGAGCTGTTTTTTCAATTTTTCGCATCAAAAATCGTCCATTGCAAAAGAAATCGCAATAATCCAGCGAAATTTATTCGAAAAGCTGTGCAAATTACCGTTTTGAAATTTTTTTTGCCAAAATATTAACGTTCAACTTTGCCAAAAGAATTAAACTAGCAATTTTTCCTTATACTTATTGTTATTTTCTACTCCTCGTTTTATGAAAAATTTCGTAGCTTCTGCACATTTTGTAAAGAGGATCCATGGGAAGCTATGATCCAAAATCAGAGAAGATTTCCTTATTTGAAGATTTTTAATTTTATTTAATTTAGATTTCAGTACTAATGAGATATGCGAGAAACTGGATTTTGTAGCTCATTGTAAGCATCCAAGTTTATATCAATAGTTCTTCGACGATGTCCGAGAACTTGCGGTCTATGTGACCAACCAGGAGCTCCTGGACAATGTCCAGACACAAGCCCAATTTGTCATATTGTGTGAGGTTTAACCAGATACATGCAGAAATGAAAGAATTGCTCAAGATATCCTGCAATATAACAACATGTTTGCCAGGCAATTTTTTTTTATTGGGAGGACTTTTGAAGATATATTTAAGGAAATATTAGTGTGGAGTTTCTTAGATTTCCACCAGATTACTCGGGGATACAAGAGAAAAGTTGCGCATTTTATCATTCTGATGCTACTTCTGAGAAGAGCAAGTGGGCCAAAATTTTGATATTGGTGAGGATGTGCTTCCTCTATCTCCATGTTTGCTTCGTTCAAACTATAAAGCTTCTGTGGACTTTGTAGCAGAAATTAAACTAGTTAAATTTGGTTTAGCTAAATTTCTTATTAAATCATTTCCTTAAAGCAATAGTTGCAGGTTCAAGCACAACAGCAATCTCCCCGAATAGATGCGTAGATTACAGAACTATTTGCACCTTTCTGCTGCAATCCAAGATAGAGAAGTTCTCAGCAGATATTATCCTCGTTCTTGCAATGCTTGTCATATCATAAAGCGTAAAATTATTTTTCTGCTATTAAATATTCATGGATTTTCAAAATGTTTTTCTTAGCAATTTGGTACAATGGATGAATATTTTTTATTCATTTCAGTATGCTCGTGTTTTTCTATTGTTTTAATATTGGTGCTTTTAAGAAATTGAATTTTTCCAGTGGATTTAATTTTAACGAATAAAATCATTGCTCTGCAAAAATGATTTATCGCAAAAGAAGTAGAATATAAGAAGAATAACAAGGAAGCAATGAAGAAAAATACGGCAACAATAAATTTTGCCCATAAGCAGCAAGTTCTGGTTTATGTTTGACATTTTAGTAATTAAAGCGCTGCATGTAGTGTGAACTAAAACTTGGCGGAATTGCAGCCTCATTGGAGTTTTTATGCGTAAAAATAATGTAGGAATGATGAAAGCTGATAAAAATTTGGTGAAATGCCTAAAACTGAACGTTCACTAGAAGCATTAGTTATTGGGCGATATTGGTCTCCGAGCGAAAAATTACTCAAGTTAAGAATACGAGTTTCAGCATTATAACAGTCATTTAAAACCCACTGAAAGATTAGCTACCTAGGTATAAAATGAAAAGAAAACTGTGGTACCAGAAATCGGATTTTCTCCACAGTAAACTGATTATCTGTGATTATCTGTCTAATATTTCGCATTTATTTATGACAAAATTCTGATAACCATTGTTTTTCATTTATAATAAAACTAAAAATTCGCGATCGCGCAAGTTTCACCTTTAGCAAATCGTTTTTAGCTTGGCCAAAAGCACTGAAGCCTACTGGCGCCTTTTTCGAAATTATGATCACTGGACAAGGTGTGCCACGATCGTCGTCGCGTATTCGTCGCGATATCGCTTGTATTGTCTAAATTTAAAAAAATAATTTTTAATAAAACATTCCTGTAATAAACATTCTTAGCGAAAAACACAATAATCATACTTTATCGTTATCAATGAAGAAAACGATATCGTTTTGATCAATTTCCAATAAAATAGGTTCAGTCCTATGAAAATATTCTCCAAGTATTCTCAGAAAGAAACCTTTGCCAGTGGTTGCACCACGGACTGTAATATATAATATTTCTAACAAGTAGAGAATTGTCCTATAAAAAGAAAACGCTAATGATATAATAAAAAAATAAGCATGATGAGCCGATAATTCCTAATTCGGATTTGATTTATTACGACACCACGCGGTGAAATAATCTTATCACAATTTAGTTCGTCTTGCTGAAGAATTTTTTTCGGTTTAACAATGGTAATTCCTCACCTGAACAACTTTTATGAGGTTATACAATTAAAAAGATAAAGTGAATCAATTAATATGAAATCAGCTTCCTAAAACTGCATAACTGCATAAGCGCAAAACAGATCAATCGATGCCATTCTGCAACACTATTTTATGGTAATATTTGATTTTTGATAAGAAAAATTCCAATCATTTTTTGCATGTGAGTACCACAGTTATTTATCGCTATGTTTAAGCCATTTCTCGAAAGAAAAACCTAATAATTAATATGCCATATTGTGTTGTATTCGTATGTCTGTTTTGATTAAGTCGTTTTCGAAAAAAATTTGATAAATAATTCTATAATAAAAATTAAATAACGAAATATAACTGCTGCGTGTAAAATGAAAAAGGGAAAGGTGTTCTTTTCTAAAATTTTCTAAAATCCAAGATGGAGGGAATGACGAGGGTAGCAATTTCGGAAAAAATTTTACAAAAAATTTCAAAGAATATTTTTCAGAATAAAACTTTAAAGTAAAACTGGAAATATATAAAAAATTTTGTTTTAAATTTAAATTTTACAATTTATGAAATAAAAAATTAACTTATGTTTAAAAATTCAGTGTATTACGTTCAAAAGAATCCAATGATGGTTTTAGTTTTATATATAAATTATTATTCTCAGTTCTGTGCCTTGCTTGATCATTTTTATTGAAATAGAATTCAAATTAATAGGAAAAGCACTATTAATTTATTAATTTGTAATTAGGCTACCTAATATTTATTGAAAAATCGCGAAAATGAAGCAAATAGAAAGCGGTCGGCCACTATCCTCGATGCTGCAATCAAATTTTAATCTAAATGATTTAATCCTGGACTAGCAGGTTTAATTACGCATGATTGATACGCATGTTTTGACTTATTAAATTTTTTTGGATTTCGAGGTATTCTAGACGAGACAAATTCGTTTCGAAGGATTTTCCTATTCTTGTAGATTAACTTGGGATCAGTGAAATTGTGAATACTTTATTGGAATCGGAATCTTCATTCGATTCGATAATTCTATTAAAGTACTGAATGCAACTGCGCATGCAAAATAAATTGTCTTCTTGTGCAATATAAATAAGTTTATGTCTATTTTTAAAAATTTAGCTGACTGACTTTACTCATCTACGTGAAAGCATAATACTCATTTAGCCATTGAGTATCGGTTCCATTGCTAGATAATTATAAAAGCGATTGTAACTGCGTCCGCCCAATAACATCTGTAAACTCATTCAGTGCATATCCTTCAAAAGAACAACAAGGCTTGCAAGAAGGTCAACGAGGTCGCAACGTGCAAATATTCTTTACTGAAATTACAGAAATTAAGTTTGCATTTATAAAAAATCTGCAGTTGATAAATTCTTTAGTTGATTCTGCAGTTTATCGGAACAAAACGTTTACGCTGGTTTTGTGTTCGATTCTTCGCAAAAGTAAACCTGTACAAAAAATCAGGGTGATGCTGGCGACTTACCTGTATTTTTATCGTCATTTGTTGCCTTACGACTATTTTACGATTATTAAAAGACTATCGTCATTTGTTGCCTTACGACTATTTTACGATTATTAAAAGAGTTGGCTTCGCATGTGAATTTTATTGGCGTCAACGATTTCGTCTCCTTTGCTATTTATCAATTAACTGTTGTATTATATATGACTTATTTTCTTGGAACATTTTACTTTATCGCAAATATAATTTTTTTTCACTGAATTGAAAATATTTATACAATATTATTTATTTATTTGACTTTATTTCTTTATTTTCATTATTTTATTTGCATTTTAAAATAGTAAAATTTTTCATCAAAATTTTTCAACAGTAAATTTTCAGTAAATGTGAAACTGGAGAAGAATTCAAGAAATGAATGAAATAACTTGCGAATAATATAAAAAAGAAAGCTTAATATAAATCTTATTTATGAAAATAATACCTATAAAAGCGAGCTTTCCCTTCGAGCATAATAGCCCACTTATATTTAGGATAGTTCTACTGACTACAAGTACAAAAGTTCTCTCCACTCAAGCTCGAGCCTTAATTAAAAGTTACTCAGAGCTTTTTCTTCCACAGAAGTCCATAGCTTATCTTGTTGCTGGCTTTCGCCTTGGCTTTCAGCTTTTCCCTATTTTCCACTCTAAAATTTAATATTAAATCTTAGCATTAAACTTAAACAATGAATTTTGTGCATTGAGTGGCACGTTTTAATTGAAAAAACCATTCATTTTTTGTGATATTAGGCTCTCTTTTAAAAGCTTATCGCTAGCAATTTGTTATTTGTGTAATGTATTGTAGCTTTCTTCATAATTCTTTAACTGCCTTCACAATTCACCTTCACTGCTTGTGCATTTTGCAGAGTAATTATTTTATTCGTTAAAACTACCACTAGAAAAACCTAATTTCAAACCTAATTTCTTAAACAAAAGTGGTATTAAAGCAGAATCACTGGCATATTTAAATGAATTTATATTATTCATTTAATTATGTTCTGTACAAAATTGCCGAAAAAAAGGCTTCGACCATTTATTTTTATTTTACATTCTATTTTATTATATTATTTTGTTATTAAAGAATACAAGCATTGCAAGTACGAGGACAATATCTGCCGAGAACATCTCTATATCTCGGATTGTAGCAGAAAGGTGCATATTGAAAGCAATTAGTTCTGTTATCTACGCATCTATTTGGGGAACTTGTTGTTGTTGTGCTTGAACCTGCAATTATTGTTTTATGGGACTGATTTAATAAGAAATTTAGTTTAATTATTTTATTTCGGTCGTAAAGTCCATTTGCTTTGTCCCTTTCAAATCAGAAAATCGAGTGATCAATGCTTAAAAAATTATTTCTGCAGAAAGGTGAATGTTCTTTCAAATGTTCTTCCAATGAAAAAAAATAATTTACTTGGCAAACATGTTGTTATATTGCAAGATTTCATACACGCTTGAGCAATTCGTTTATTTTTGCATGCATCTGGGAAACCTCCGACAATGTGACAAATCGGACTAGTGTCTGGACATTCTCCAAGAGCTCCTGGTTGGTCACATAGACCGCAAGATTTCGGACATCTTAGAAGAACTATTTGATATAAACTTGGATGCTTACAATGAGCTACAAAGTCCAGTTTCTCGCAAGTCTCATCAGCAGCAACGTCTGCAATACCAATTTGTTAATGGAAAAACATCCTCTTATTTTAAGTAAACCTTAAATAGGCTTCGATTGAACTATACCGATACTTTTAACTATATTATATGCACAATAATAAAATAAATAATAATAAATAATAAACAAGAAATGAAATAAAAAACAAATTCTTGTTCAATTTATTTTTAATAAATCTGGCAAATATGAAGGCAAAAAATTGGAACTTCTGAAAATTGGAACGTTACGAAAAATAAAGTTTAAATTGGTGATTCAAAAAGAGTTTGGAAATTGTTAATTTAAACTTTTATTATAAATTTCATAAAAAAATGAATAATTTAGCGCAAAATTGCTATTTTTCAAATTCTTTAATAATATTCCCGATAATTTATTATTTTTCATTGTTTATCTATAATTTTTTGTTCCCATTTTCATTTGAAATTTTCATTAAAAAGTAACCATTAGTACAGTTGAACTGTCGCGTTTTGCAACATTTTGCACACGAACTCGGACATTGCAATACAGTAATCGCAGCGAGTGAAGCGTTTAAGCAGTGTTCGTTGACTTTGTAATCTTCTTCACTATATATATATAATTATTATAGGATTGGTTATGTAAAATATATATTTATTACGGGATTGGTTATAAAAAAATTGGAAAAAAAGGGAGAAAAAGCCACAAAATTTTGAAAACTTACGCGTTAAGATTACTTAAATAAGTTGCTGGTAATTTCGGAAACAAAACATTGCATGCAGGAGAATCCAAATCATGGCAATATTCTGGCGGCACTGTCGGACGTTTCCTACCAGGGGGGCCTTTCGCACAATCAGTGATTGGCCGATCTTCACCATTATTGTTGCCAATTAAGCAAGAAAAGATGTAAAAGTGGAGAAACATTCACAACAATGAGGAATAATCGCTCATTGCACCTTTTTATGCATAAAAACTATATGGGTGCCGGCAATGATAAAAATTTAATCAGCTTTTTAGGAGATAAACATTTCAATTTGTTTAATTTTGATTTTTCACTGGAAGAAATTTTTTAGCGAATCAATCGCTTCGGCAAAGGAAAAGTTGCAAGAGTGCATAAGTGCATTGAACTCTGTGACGACGGCTCCGTAGAAATTCTCGGTCAGCTTTGATTCGAAAATTCGAAAATTGGCTAACCAACCTCTATTGTGGCAATGTCTTTCGCTAATATTGGCTTCGACCATTGATACTTTCATTTCATACTAACCAAATCTAATAATTATTATCATAGAGCTAAATATTTTAGAACTATCAACAATACCACTAATATGCATAACGAATAATTTAGGAATATATATTATAACTGCATTGCTTTTTGAATATTTTGGTGCATAATGATTAACAAATTTTAAACAAAAACGTTTGCAAAATAAAGAAGTACAATTTAGCATAAGATTAATAATATTAACTTATAGTTATTTTAACTTTTCTAGAAATATCGTTCATCCTTTTATTTTAATAGATTTTTATAGATATTTTAGGCAATATTCCGAAAATCCGAGCGGTGCTGGTGAATCCGCGCTTCATATTGGCTAAGTGGAATTTCCTGCAAAATTTATCAGGTTCGGCAAGCCAGTACAGCGAGCCCAGTCAGAAATGGTGAACGGGAAAAAAACCTATTTCTATCGAAGAAGTTGTTGTAGCTACAATTGTTTTTTTATATGCGAGGTTTAGAATTGCAACAAATTCATTTTAATTGCCAAATTACCAAAATTATAAGTGACAGAACATCCTAAAGCATTTAAACAGCAGATTAACCAATTATCCTAACAATTCATCAATGTTGTTTCATTTAAATAAGACTCGCATTATCAATTCTTATCAAATTGTTTGATCGGAATAACCGAGGCATCGTTAGCTTAAAAAATGCCTGCATTTTATGCATAAAATGCTTCCGCCACAAACCTTGCCAGTTAAAAAACTAAGGAATATTTTGGTTCTTTTTTATCGCCTCCTATGGTTCATTTCACAAAATGTGCAATAGTTATTTTTTAATTTTTTAATAAACGTCTCAGATAGAAGCATATAATAACAAAACATGCGAAGAAAAATCTTTTGCTGAACAATGAACAAACATAAATATTTTGGCAAAAAAAATTTTGAAACGGTAATTTGCACAGCTTTTCGAATAAGCGTTGCTGCAATTTTTTGAATTTTTCTATAGTAGACTAGCAATTTTTATATATTGTACTAATTTTCAAAAATGAAATAAAATTTGATAATTTAATATTTTTTTTGAAGTATAAGGATTCTAATTTAAGGGCTCTAAAGCAACTCGCCAAGATTTTTATCAATACAATTCATCAATAATTTTTTCTTCTTTTCGTGATACCGGTAATTCTTAAAGGAAATTTTGAAATTAATGCGAATTTTTTTCGGAAAAGTTGTTAAATTCGAAAAGTTTCAAAACGACAAAATTTTGATATTGGTGAGGATGCACTTCCTTTCACCATGTTTGGTCCGATCAAACTATAAAACTTCTATGGACTTTGTAGTAGAAATTAAACTAGTTAAACTAAATTTCGTATTAAATCATTTCCTTCAAGCAATAGTTGCAGATTCAAGCACAACAGCAACTTCCCCAAATAGATGCGTAGATTACAGAATCAATTGCACATTTCTGCTGCAATCCAAGATATAGAGAAGTTCTCAGCAGATATTATCCTCGTTCTTGAAATGCTTGTCAATCATAAAGCGTAAAATTATTTTTCTGCTATTAAATATTCATGGATTTTCAAAATGTTTTTCTTAGCAATTTGGTACAATGGGTGAATATTTATTCATTTTAATATGCTGGTGTTTCTCGATTGTTTTAATATTGGTGCTTATAAGAAATTGAATTTTTCCAGTGGATTTAATTCTAACGAATAAAATAATTGCAAAAATGATTTATCGCAAAAGAAGTAGAATATAAGAAGAATAACAAGGAAGAAAAATATGGTAACAATAAATTTTGCCCATAAGCAACAAATTCTGGCTTATAGACTTTTTATGGTAGTTGAGCGGAGAATCTGGTTTAGGTAAGAATAGTCAGAGAAGGATAAAAACCATGAAATTTTTTGTTCTCATTGGCCATATGTAAAAAGATTTAAAATATATCAGCCAGATAGATGCTAATTTTAATTTTGAAGCTGATTTCAGAAAGGTGATTCACCAGAAGAATAAAGACACCTCAACTATCCAATTTCATCCTTCGCTAGAACAATCATTTAAACAGTTTATGTTCCAATAAATATTTTTAGAGATTAGTATCTTTTCGACTCATAGAATTTTATTTCCACGGTGTAATTTGTATTTATAATCATCAATCATTTTCACACAAATTTCAAGGGAATTTTGGTAAAAATTTAATAAAATTCTTTTCGATTAATATGATTGCATTGAGATTATTGAAAAGCTTCAGAAAGTATTTTATCGCGCAGCGCCAGAAATGCTTTATAGGCTTCCTAGAATTACAGCAAAATGACGAAATACAAAAATCTGAAATTCTTATTATTCTAGAAATGCAAACACGAGAAAAAACCTCGCAGTCCCAATTGAGATCCATAAGACATTTGCGGGACCATTCGGGTTTCATTTGGCTTTGGTGTGAAAACAATTCAATCAAGAGTTTCTGCATACTTTCATAACCAGCTAAACCCAATTCTTTAGGCGTTAATTCACGTAACGCTGGTGTAATATTTGCTTTCGTCGTGCTTTATTCTTCTGCTTCTTCCACATAGTTCCTGTTCAATCGCTTGGAAAAGCCGTTAGCATTAATTAGCATTATTTTATTCATTTGTAAACAAAAAGCATTAGAGAAACCCAATTTCTTAAGCAAAAGTACCAATATCAAAACGAGTAAAAATTCATATCTCGCATATTGAATGTTTTCTTATTGACAAACATTGCAAGTACGAGGACAATATCTGCCTAGAACATCTCTATATCTCGGATTGTAGCAGAAAGGTGCATATTGAAAGCAATTAGTTCTGTTATCTATGCATCTATTTGGGGAACTTGTTGTTGTTGTGCTTGAACCTGCAATTATTGTTTTATGGGACTGATTTGATAAGAAATTTAGTTTAATTATTTTATTTCGGCCGTAAAGTCCTTTTGCTTTGTCCCTTTCAGATCAGAATATACGCAATAGAGTGATCAATGATCAATACTTAAACAATTATTTCTGCAGAAAAGTGAATGTTCTTTCAAATGTTCTTCCAATAAAAAGAAATTTACTTGGCAAACATGTTGTTATATTGCAAGATTTCATACATGCTTGAGCAATTCTTTCATTTTTACATGCATCTGGGAAACCTACAACAATATGACAAATCGGACTGGTGTCTGGACATTGTCCAAGAGCTCCTGGTTGGTCACATAGACCGCACGTTTCCGGGCATCTTCGAAGAACTATTTGATATAAACTTGGATGCTTACAATGAGCTACAAAATCCAATCGTTTACAGATCGCGTCCGCAGCGGGGTCTAAAATATCGAATGGAAAAACTTTCTCCGGCTTTAAAGGTAAATGACTAAAAAGTTAAAAAAAATAAATAAATTTGGCAAAATTTAGCAAATATAGCTAAATTCCTGCTTTTTGATTGCAGTAACAATGATTTCTACCATAATTTATTGTTAATCGAGTAACCATTTCTGCAACTGAACTGTCGCGTTTTGCAGCATTTTGCACACGAACTTGGACATTGCGACACAGTAATCGCGGCGACAGATTCATTGGTCACGCAATGTTGGTTGACTTTGTAATCTTGTCCGCTAAAATATAATAATATAACTATTATATAAAATATAACTAAAAAATATTACTATTCTGAAATCGAATTCAAAAAATCAGAAAGCAAAAACAAGTAACGAAATTTTGAATGCTAATTATTGCACTTACACGTCTAGATTGGATACATAAGTTCCTGATTCTTTCGCGAACAGAGCATTGCATGCAGACGAATCCATATCAAGGCAATGCTCTGGTGGCACTGATGGACGTGCGTGGCCTCCAACCCCTTCCGCACAATCCACGATTTTCACATCAAGACCAAGATTATTGCTTATTAAGCAAAAAAAGATGCAAAAGTAGAGAAACATTTTCAACAATATGGAATAATCGTTCGTTCCACCTTTTTATGCATAAAAACTATACGGTTGCTGGAAATGATAAAAATTTATTCAGCTTTTAGTAGTTATCTGCGTGAAACAAATATTTCAATTTTTTTAATTTCATTTTTTCATTGGAATAAGCTTTTTAGTGAATTCATCGTATAGGTAAAACAAATCCATTAAAAATAAATTTCTGTTAAAATTATCCAATTATAAGATTCGTTTTCCTCTTTAACTCGCTTTAGATTACTTCTGAACACGTAATTTAATTAAATATTGGTATGGGATTGGCCAGAAATCATTTAGTGCAGATGTATTTCTTTTATTTGAAGATTGATTTACTTCTTTTCTAAGGGATGCTCCATGAATCACCTTCACACTACATCTCGCTGTATGGATGATTGAATTTCTGGAATTTCTGGTCTGGAAGTTCACCGTGAAAATTATTCGAAATGCTATGCAAATGCTGTCAACGGAATAATTTTCTCTAATATATGTTAGAAAGGCAAAATTTTCAAAATAAATCGCAACTTTTTTTGCTATGGAAAATTCAGAAAAATTTTTTTTGTTAGCAAATTTGACCGAAAAAATTTCAGAAATTTTCAAAAAAATTCTCTCAAAAGTCGTTCAAATATCTTTAAAGAATATTTTTGCTTTGTTCATATCCATCAATTTCCGTTTTTTTGGGAAATATTAAAATGAATATTGAAATATTTTTTTTCGAAATTTAGAATTTTTGAATTTGTTGATTTATTTGAATTTGAAAATTAATTATAAAATAAATCTATATAATAAAATATAATAAATATAATAAAATAGGAATAAATAAATGCAAATTTCATCGATTCATACACTTTGGCAACTACTTGTTTTCTAATTTTATCTGATTTGTACGATAAAGGGAAATTTTTTCAGACCATTCCGCGTGTAATTGGTAGAAAAATTTTTATCTGAAAATTTGATATGCACAATGACTGCAAATTTCCCGAAACCCATTTTTATAGCCGAAGGACTTGTATTACTTTCTGTTTTTAAAGAGTATTTTTCAATTTTCATTTTGAAATTCTTCGAACTGAAGCATTTTTCACGCAATGTGGGCTAACTTTGTAATCTTCGTTGTTAAAATATAAAAATGCAACTATTATATAAAATATAACTAAAAAATATAACTATTCTGAAATCGAATTTAAAAAATCAGAAAGCGAAAAAAAGGTTAGATTGATGCCATGAAGCTCCTATGTAATTATTAAATATGGCTGCATTGATGGTTAAATTTTTGCCTTTTATAATTTCAAGACAATATTTTTGATAATTTTTATCAGTTTGGGAGGCGAAAAATTCCAAATAAATTATATAATCGCAACCCTTTTTCGGTGAAAAATTCAGAAAGATTTTATTAGTTACCTAATTATCATCAATGAAAAAACTTCAGTTTTAACTCACAAAGAACTTTTCATAAAAATCAAATTAAATGTATACAAAAAACCCTCTAAAAAGTTCTTCAATATTTGAGAGGATCGCTTTTCTTTATTCATTTTATTTGTTATTTCCATTTTTTTCTGAAAATCATGAAATGAATATTGAAAATTTTGTTCGAAATTTGAAAATTTGATTACCAAAATGATAAAATAAATCAGCGAATATAATAAAATCAATAAAATAAGAATAAAATAAGTGCAAATTTTATCGACGAAACATTCATACTTGTTGGCAATTGTTTTTACTAATTTTATCTTATTCGTAAGATAAAAGGAAATGTTTTCAAATTCTTCCAGGTTTAAGTTTTAACAACAAAATAAGATAAGGGTAAAATAAGGGTATTTGGTTAGTGATTTGGTTATCACAAGATCGCATCCAATCTTCGCTCAAATACCCTTCGGTGATTAGGGCACGTTCTCTGTCCCGCACCACAGGAGTTGAAGCATATTTCGTTATTTGCTAAACTGTATGATGGGTGGTGTCAAAAGCAAGGTTGGTCAATTAAAACTTGTACTAATATGATCAGAAAAGATTTTGAACGAAGATTTGATATAGGTGGACCAACAGTATATGGACTTAGGTGATGGGAAAAGGAACGGTGGCATCAAATCACTTGAAAGCGTCTTACCCTTGTAGCCATTGGAGCCAGCCTAACCACTAATGGTTAGAAGAAGAAAAAGAATTGGTTAGTGAATAAATCAGCGAGTGAATATGAAAATGAATATGAGACAATTTTCAATTCAGATAGATATTTTATACCCGCAGTTTCAATATGCAAATTTCTCGAAACGTATTTTGGTAATCGAACGTTATTTTCATTATTTTCTGATTTTAAAGAATATGAGTTCTTTAATTCGGCGAAGTGAGAGAGAATAATTCAGTTGAAATTGCGCCTTATAAATGAGATTGCTATTAGATGCGAGGCGATCTACGAAGTATTTTTAAATGTCTTCAAATAATTTACTTGATTTGCTGTTTCTGGGGAGATAATAGATTGCATTATATTCAAGAATGGGTCAAACGAACGCATTGGATAATTTGACAACTATATTTTGATTTCTTATTATTTTCCTTCTTTTTACACGGCTTTATAGTGAAGATCGAGATTTTCATCCACGACTATGCCAAGAAGTTTGAGACTAGTTTCATAGTACTACTAATGATAATGAACTTAGGGAGATAGGATCCTTTCGAATTTGTATGAAATATATTACAATTTTGAATGGGAAGAATAATTTAAGTTATAATAAGTTATAATTTAAGTTATAATAAGTTGTATTAAATTAGCATTAATATAGCTAATCATATAATTTGCTATAAATCAGTTCTCTCAGCGCTTTATTACCCATTAGACTAATATATAGAAAGGATCACAGGAGTGTTTGTCTGAGAATGGAAATGAATATCATTTTTATTTTGTTGCTGTCGAAACCATTCGGCGATGAGAAAGAAGAAATGAGTGCTTTATACGAAATTAACAAAGGGTTACTTGTGAGCCGATAATTCAGCAACTTCTTCATTGTTGAACAAATGATTTACTTCAGGCTGAATAGCTATCAGGAAAAGTTTTTTGTCATATTTATCAGACACCGTTAATTCACCGATGTAGTGTTATAAATTTTTGGTCTTATTGGTATACCTAATAGTAAACTGAAATATGAAATTGTCTATACCACATTCTACGCAGTTGTTGCATCGTTCAACTCTCGTAGTAAAAAGAATATATGTCAGAATTTTCTTACTTCGGGGCGAAATTTGTTATTTATTTATTATTATTTATTTAAATTTATTATTTATTATTATTTATTTATTATTTATTGTTATTTATTTAAATTTAAAATTTATTTATTCATTGCAATTATTCTCCTAATTTTGCTGAATAAACCATTTTTGCAGAGCAATTATTTTATACGTTTAATATACATTTAAACAAAAAGCATTAGAGAAGCCCAATTTCTTAAATAAAAGTAAATATTAAAATAAATCAAAAATTTAATTATCACGTGTATTAAATATCAAATGTTTTCTTATTGACAAGCATTGCAAGTACGAGGACAATATCTGCTGAGAACTTCTCTATATCTTGGATTGTAGCAGAAAGGTGCATATTGAAAGCAATTAGTTCTGTAATCTACGCATGTATTTGGGGAGGCTGCTGCTGTGCTTGGACCTGCAATTATTGTTTTAAACTGATTTGATAAGATTTAATTATTTCGGTCGCAGTCCATTTGCACTAACCTTGTCAGGTCAAAACATGCGCAACAATTTTTCTTTTACTTCTCCAAGTGATTTAACAATTATTTCTACGAAAATATGCATGTTCTTTCAACAGTTCATCGAAAAAAAAATGCTTACTTGGCAAACATGTTGTTATATTGCAGGATTTCATACACGCTTGAGCAATTCTTTCATTTTTGCATGCATCTGGGAAGCCTATGACAATGTGACAAATCGGGCTGGTGTCTGGACATTGTCCAAGAGCTCCTGGCTGATCGCATAGACCGCAAGTTTTCGGGCATCTTCGAAGAACTATTTGATATAAACTTGGATGCTTACAATGATTTACAAAATCCAGTTCCTCACAGGTCGCATTAGCAGCGAAGTCTAAATTATAAATTATACTTTCTCTAGTATAAATAGTTGGAAGTCTAAGCATTTTTCACTGAGAAATTAATTTTAATAACTCTGGGGAATGAAAATTTAGGCATTCAAAAATTGGAAATTCAAAAGAAATAAATAAAGTTTAAATTTAATTAAAATTTCTGTTTAAATTGGTGATTCAACGAGAAATAATTAAATAATAATTAAATTTGACGCAAAATTCTTATTTTTCGATTTCAATAATAATAATTTCTCCCATAATTTATTATTTATCATCAATTTTTCGCTTCTTTTTTCGAAAATTTTATAAAAAAATTAACCATTCGTGCAATTAAACTGCCGTGTTAAGCAACATTTTGCACACGAACTTGGGCATTGCGACACACTAATTTCAGCGAATTCATTTTTCACACATTGTTCGCTGACATTGTAATCGTTAGTGCTGAAATATAATTATTATGATATTGTATATGAAACAAATCAGAAAGACAAAAAAAAGCAACAAAATTTTGAAAGCTAATAATTACACTTACATCTCTAGATTGGTTACATAAGTTCCTGATTGTTTCGCGAATAGAGCATTGCACGTTGACGAATCCAAATCATGGCAATATTCTGGCGGCACTGTTGGTCGTTGCATACCTCCAACGACTTTCGCGCAATCCTTGATTTTCACGTCTTCACCACGATTATTGCTAATCAAGCATAAAAAGACGATAAAGTGAAGAAACATTTTCAACAATGAGGAATGATCACTCATTGCATCCCTTTATGTCTAAAAACTATATGGGTGTCGGAAGTGATAAAAATTTATTCAGCTTTTAGGAGATGTTTCCCTCAACAAATATTTCAATTTGTTTAATTTCAATTTTTCATTGGCAAAAACTTTTCAATAAATCAGTCGCTTTGGTAGAACAAATCCACGGCAATTTTCATCTAAATTGAAATTGAACAAATTGAAATCCAAGTCTAAACTTTCGTCGCATTCCTTTTTCTCTTTTATTTTTATCCTTTTCTCTTTCTCTTCAATATTATTTGCTTTTAAATAACGCGCTTTGAGGTTACTTGTGAACATGAAATTTATTATTCTCTTAAAGAGATACTCGTTTAAGATTGTCTTTTATTCTTTGTCGAAATTGCTTTTACCTAAAATTTGTTCCGCCACAACTGAAGAAGAAGAAGTATTTATTTATTTATATCAGCAATATTGAAAAATTATTTTAGAACATTTGAAATATTTTGGCTCGTTTTCTTTTCATCTGAACATTTCCATTACATAGTATGCGATTACTTCAGAAGAACTCATTATTAGCTCAATTGAAATTATTATTGTTATTAGCATTAACTGATTATTATTAGGATTATTTTTATAAGCTCGGAAGGCGAAAAATTCAAAGCTTATGTATTCAGAACCTTTTTTCGGTGAAAAATTCAAAAAGATTTTATTAAAAAAATTTTAAAATTTTAGTTTTTTTTTCAAAATTTTAGAAATTAAAGCGAAGAAATTTATTTTTAACGCAAAAAGTTTTTCATAAAGTATCTTCAAAAAAAAAAAGTTGTTTGATATATTAAAGTATCGTTTTTTTGCTTTCAACAATTAGTAGTTTCGTTATTTCCAAAAATATTGAAATGAATATTGAAAGTTTTTTTCGAAGTTTAAAAATTTGATTGTCAAAATAATTTATAAAATAAATCAGAGAAAATAATAAAATAAATGAAATAAGAATAAAACAAATTTTATCGGTGAAATATTCATACATGTTGGCAATTATTTACATAACTAATTTATTATATTTCTAAGATAAAAGGAAAAATTTATCGTGAAAAATTTTGTTAATTCAAAAAGAAAAAAAGCTAAAATTTTTAAAAGAAGTGGCCTGCGTACTCGTCGATGGCTTCACGAATTATGCTTGGAATGTGTCGCTAACTGTAGATTTTATTACTGCTCAGATACCATTAATATAATAGAACGATGT